TTTTGGTTTGGCTACCCGTAGCTTTCTCCCAACCTACTCTTACACAACAAATCATAACTCGTCGCGTCAGTCGTCAGTTAGTCATACGTAACACATGCCCCAACCACCTGAACTGATGAAGTTTAACTACTTCATCTATTTATCTGCCATCCCTACCTAGTACTCATTTTCTAACTACAGCAATGCTTACTCAGTTGTCCCAGGATATACTAGTGTAGTGAACGAGAACACAGGTGGGGCAACCGAATTGTATTTACGAAAATTACAGAGTTACTCAGTAAAATCGGAAAACCATATTGTAAATCGTTAATTTGCAAAATATCAGTCCATTATATCGAACTGGACTGTTCCTGCTGCAAAACATCAATCCATTGTCACTATTCATGCGTTTCATACAAATTCCATTGTGTTCTTCTAACTCTTCCTTTCTTGATCTTCCCCCATCTTCTGCTGCCAGACATTACGTTGACACTCATGTCATATACTACTTATAAGTAGCTCGCACCACACTAACAATGCTTCAGAGACACCTGTGATCGGAAACAAGCAACCTACAAATATCTTCTACTTTCACCAGCGGTGTTTCGTATCCATATATTAGGCCGGAGCGAACTACCGCACGGTACACTCGTCCTTTGGTCAACAAACAGATATCTCGCCTGTGTCATAGGTGACGCAAGTTGGCAAATACCAATCGTGTTCAATGTTTGTAATATATAAAATATAATCATTTACATAATATTCTTCACCTTTTCCTTTATAATGTAAAGTTTTTACCAAAAAAGTAAAATAAGATCCGCCATTAATACTTTCAAATCTTTGAATCTATGCTTCTCACCTTTTTTTTCGCTGTGATTTTCCTCCATGAGCTGGCAAATATTTATTTTTTTGGGGGGGGGGGTTCCTTCCTCTCTTCTGGTAATAGATGACCAGCTTGATCATTCTTAGGAAAGAAATCTGTTTCTGTCAACTTTGTAATTTTCATCGCATTAATTCGATTTGATGATTATGCCTGTTTTCGATGATAAAATGGTGACAGTTTGTGTGTGTGTGTGTGTGCACACTGTAGTATACCGATTGTGCATATTTTATGTCTACATTTACTATTTATGAATACATACACACAACATGGTGTGTTTTTTTTGGTTGTGACAATGAAAATATTTTTTTTTCTTTTCCTATGAATAGTATCGATTAAGTTGACTGTGACATGTTTAAGCAAGTTGTCTGTTCATTCATTCTCCCGCTTAGTCAATGATTTCGGTTGATACGTTGTAACATTTTTCACTAATCATTATCACATAACATTCTGAGCTGGATATTTTCCTTGCTTCTGTGGAAAGTATCATTGCACACACTGTCGCTTACTTAATTACTTACTTACTTACGTCTGTTACCCGCCAATGGAACATAGGCCGCCGCCCACCAGTTTTCTCCAACCAACTCTGTCTTGGGTTTCCCTTTACAGTTCTGTCCAGATTTTTGTTCATTCTTCTCATATCTTTCTCTATTTCTCGGCGTTCCTTGACCTTCATCTTTTCTTCTTGCCTTGAGGGTTCCATGTGAGGACTTGTCTTGTGACGCAGTTGGGTGCTTTTCTCAGCGTGTATCCTATCCACTTCCACCACTTCTTCCTCATTTCCTCCTCCACTGGAATCTCGTTTGTTCTCTTCCACAGTAAGTTGTTGCTGATAGTGTCTGGCCAACGAATCTGAAGTAATTTGCATAGACAACTGTTAATAAATACTTGTATCTTCTAGATGATGGCTTTCGTAGTTCTCCAGGTTTCCGCTGCATACAGTAGAACTGTCTTGACAATTGTATTGAAAATGCTGATTTTGAAATTTCCAGATATTTTTCAACTGTAGAAATGCAGCATTTGCTTTGCCGATCCGCGCCGTCACATCTGCATCGGATCCACCTTGATTGTCGATGATGCTGCCCAGATATGACACACTGCCGCTTGTCCTGATAAAAATTCTTGATTCTGTCGGAGCCTCTCTTAGTAGTACTGTAGTGAAAGAGAACACAGCTGGGGCAACCGAATTGTATTAAACGAAAATTACAGAGTTAATCAGTAAAATCGGAAAACTATATCGTAAATCGTTAATTTGCAAAATATCAGTCCATCATATCGAACTGGACTGTTCCTGCTGCAAAACATCAATCCAATGTCACTATTCATGCGTTTCATACAAATTCCATTGTGTTCTCACTCTTCCTTTCTTGATCTTCCCTCATCTTCTGCTGCGCCAGACATTACGTTGACACTCACGTCATATACTACTTATAAGTAGCTCACACCACAGTACCATATACTGTGATTAGGATTAACCTGTTTATTTTTTTTCCTGAAGATTATTCATAAACGTTATTCAATGGTATATATCTAACAGTCCTTTTTAAGAAAAAAAACGTTGTTTATTCTTTTCTTTTTTAGATATCCTGAAGATTTCAAACCTCGTCTTCCACCGCCACCTTTAAGATTATCATGGCCGTTAGTTACACTGCGTCGTTTCGGTTTCTATGGTAATAGTTTGTTTAAAGTGGAAACAGGTAGACGAGCTCCACGTGGTGAAGGACTTTATTTATTTCGTATTAAAAATTTACGCGAATTCAGAAAATCATTTGAGGTTAGTTTATAGGTTGTTTTTCATTTATTTTTATTTTCAAATCGCATTTATTGTGTTATTTGCAACCATGAATCGATCAATGTTAGACCAACACCATTAGAAACCTGGAAGCACTGAAAGACGGCCGTTTCGTCCTGGCAATGGGACTCCTCATCAGTAGCAGTGCACATCCACGACTCCTGCACCCCGCAGGATTCGAACCCAGGACCTTCGGTATTGTGGACGAACGCCCTAACCGTTAGACAACTGAGCTGGTGGTCTTCACAAACAACCCCGCAACGCATTTATTGTGTTGCTTCTTTTTTTTACATTGATCACTAATGTTCAGTTTGAAATGATTTGGATTTGATCAGTGTCAATTAGCATATGGGCATTTTATGTGGATTGCCTTGATATTAGTCATTATGATACACGTTTATATAGAATTAATTGAATGTGGCTAGCACTGGAATCTAGGAGGCACATTTCGTATTAATTAGGACTTGTCAGCTGGATGTGCTTGAGTCTTATATCCTTTGCACAAGCGAATCAATAGCTGGACTCAGTAATTGGGTGTATGAAGGGATGACGTTTGAGGTGAACAGCAGTGTGTTTGAGTCCCGGAATGAATATCTACTCTAGGATGCAGGTACATCCAACTGACGAGTCTCAAATAATACAAAATGCGCATCTTGGATTCCAGTAGTAACCACATTCTCTCGATTCTGTCTATATAAGTACTATGAGGAATACATTTTAGTAATGGGGTCGACTGGATTATGAAGACGTCAACATCTAGAGGGAAGTACGGTATCCAGTGGACAGCTAGGATGCAGATGGACGATCTGGACTTTGCAGATGACTTGGCTCTTATATCACACACGCAATAACAAATGCAATAGAAGATGACCAGTGTAGCAGCAGCCTCAGCAGCAGTAGGTCTCAACATACATAAAGGGAAAAGCGAAATTCTCCGATGCAACACAACATGCGTCAACCAAATCGCTCTTGATGGAGATGCCTTGGAGGACGTTAACACCTTTACATATCTGGGCAGCATCATCGACGAGAAAGGTGGATTCGATGCAGATGTGAGGGTGCGAATTGGCAAAGCAAGGGCTGCATTTCTACAATTGAAAAATATCTGGAACTCCAAACAAATATCAATCAACACCGAAATCAAGATTTTCAATACAAATGTCAAAACAGTTCTACTATATGGAGTGGAAACTTGGAGAACTACGGAAGCCATCATCCACAAGATACAAGTATTTATGGACAGTTGTCTACTCAAAATACTGTGGATTCGTTGGCCAGACACCATCAGCAACAACGAACTGTGGGAGAGAACAAACCAGATTCCAGTGGAGGATAGAATCAGGAAGAAGCGGTGGAAGTGGATAGGACAAACATTGCGGAAAGCACTAAACTGCGTCACGAGACAAGCCCTCACATCGAACCCTGAAGGTCAAAGGAAAAGAGGAAGTTCAAGGAACACATTACGCTGAGAAATAGAGAAAGATATGAGAAAAATCAACAAAAATTGGACAGAACTGAAAAGGGAAGCCCGGGACATAGTTGTTTGGAGAAAACTCGTGGGCAGCCTATGCTCCATTGGGAATAAGATGCGTAAGTATGTAAATAAGTATTGGGATTTAGTAAAATACTAGTACTGTTACTTGCTGGAAAAAGTCAGCCTACAAATGAAGAGTATATTATGTGTATTCACTGTTCATTTCATTATCTAGCTAAGTTAGTTAATCATGAGACAACAGTCATGTTGATTGATTATTTATTTTACGATATATGCATACAGTTTATACAACAATATATCATTAGGTCAAACTATTTTAACTAAATATATTAAAAAAATTAAATCTTATTCAGTATTATTATATCAAAATATCACAATGATTAAGCGTTATTGTGTGATGTTTAATTGATTAAAATGATACATCTTATCCTATGGTTGTTTATTACTCATAGTGTTGTAGTGAAGGAGAACACAGTTGAGGGCAACCAAATTGTATTTATCGAAAATTACAGAGTTACTCAGTAAAATCGGAAAAACCATATCGTAAATCGTTGTTAATTTGCAAATCTTCAATCCATCATTGTCTGACATTTCACTCACTATTCATGCGTTTCATACAAATTCCATTGTGTTTTTCTCACTCTTCCTTTCTCTTGATCTTCTCCCATCTTCTGCTGCCAGACATTACGTTGACACTCACGTCATATACTACTTATAAGTAGCGCGCACCACAATAGTACAATAAAGAAAATGTTGGATTTTTAACTTAAATCTATGAAGCAGCTGTAGTGAAGTAGCTATCTGTGATCTTATCTGTGTAATGAAATGGAAATGGTTTCACTGCTAAAATATGTTCGAGGATCCGACGACACGACATGCTACTCTAATCCGAATGTTCCAAACCACCCCCCCCCTTATTGAGTTAAAGATCAAGACTTGATATGAAGTTGAACGTGTGTTCTACAAACATCCAGAAAGTACGATGTCCAAGTCCAGAAGAGAATCCGAATCCCGGACTAGGGATCCAGGGTTCAGGTCGCGGGTCATTAAGCGTTACAGATAATGCGTATTTATACATTTAGGTCGATTAAGAAACAACATTGAAGTCTGTGACATTGCTAGTTAAGGACGTCCAATAGGAAATAACATTTGAAGTGACAGTGTCAGTTAGTACGCCCAATAGGAAACCACATTGAAGTCTGTGTGTGACATTGATAGTTAGGACGATCATAATATTGATCAATAGGAATCGGCCAATAGAATTTACACTTACAAAATAATTTTTCGTAGGATATTTGATGAATGTTCTGACAGAATGCTGAATATATATTCAAACTAAAATTATAAAAAACTATAAATTTATTCGAGAATATTTAAAGTTATAATTCAACACTATAAAACTATTCATCCTTCAAAAGTTTAGTTACAGGTTCTGAATCATCGTAAGTATATTGATTATTCCGTGTAATCAATAGTGATGATACTAATCAGTAGGTATAAACAGTAGTATCGTGTGCTAAGCATAATATTAAATTCTCAGAATAAATTATCTCTTTCTTATCATGTCTTATATATACATATATGAGATTGCTTCATTTTTATTCTCTTCAATGAATCTTAAGCTTTTGTTTCTGTGTGTATAATCGATCTGATCTTCTGTAATGTAGTCCGATGAGACGTATGTAGCTGTTATGTATGCAGTTGTAGGGGAATATGATTCTGCCTATGGACCATGTTGTTGAAAGCATACAAATCTACCAGTGTCTTCACATTGTCTCGTTTCAGTCCATGCCACCCCATCATGCGTTCATACCTGGTATTGTTCATGCTGACCATGATGGAATTTAGGTCTCCCACCAAGATATTAGTTCTTATGCTGGGCAGTTGTCTACAGCGAACTGCATTCTTTCATGGAAATGATCTATATTGTCTTTGCTGCTGACAGTGGGTGAGCAGTGGAACTGTATGACATTGTAATCCATCCTTCTTTGTTTCGAATAGTGCTTCGATGGTTTCTGAGCGGTGAATTCCTCATCTTGTAGACATTTTCCATGCTTCTGTGGAGAGTATCACTGCACACATCCACAATACACACTACTATTTTTACTACTGGAGTTCCCAATGGCAAAATCCACAAATGGGTTATTTCATCGCTAACTTTATTCCAAGTATAACACTAGCCAACTTTTTATGTCATTGAAATTAAATATTTCAACTTTGTTTTCATAATTGCCTGGTTGGAGTTCGCGAGACATAAGTCACCGATGGTTAGAGACCTTGAATGACGTGGCTCAAAAACGTTTTTGATGGCTCAGATGCATCGATTCTTTGTGTTCTCTGAAATCCTAACCTTCTGAATTCCTCATCATCTCTTTCTCACTGAAATATACCCTAATCTTCGCCATTACTGCTGATACTTCTACGTGTCTCTGTGCTAATATGTGGTATGGCAACCTGAACTGATATATACATCCTTACGAAATTCTGTGTGTTGTATCTGTCTGCCTCTATTCATAATGATTATGTCCTTATTTACTCAACTATGTAATTTTTTCTGCCATGCAAACAACCATTTATTTAATTCAAGCATCATAACTAGTTGTGTATTGCGCCATTTTTCCCGTTCAAATTATTATTTACCTTGATTTTAGTTTTAGTTTAGTTTAGTCAACGACGTCATTTCTAACTGAACCGATCGATACTATGCAAAAAAAAAAGAGAAAAAAAAATTGAAATCGAAAAATTACAGGATTTGTCCAAATTTTTTTTTGTTCTTTAGAAAGTATAAAATAAATTCGTTGAGAGTTACATATACACACATACATGCACACACACACATACAGATAGATAGATAGACAGACAGACAAACGGACAGACAAAAATACCTTTATTTTTCTCTACTAGTTACTGAAACCTTATAAACAACATACAGTATTTTCATGTAGTAGTAGGCTAAGCTAAAAATAGTCTGTGCACTAAAATTATCTTTTTGGTTAGTGAATGAATGGATATTTCACCTACGCCATAAATGGTGGCACAAGTTGGCCAAAGTTAATCAAGTCTTTTGTATCCATGCTAAGATGTCGTCAAATAACAGGCCACCAGCATGGATGAGACTGCCAAGATAAATGAAGTGATCAGTGCACTGAACTACTTAATTCCCTCCTTATCACTAGTTCAGGTGCTGATGGAAGCCAGCTTTGTCCAGTTAGTCGTAGACAAATACGTGCTTGTACTAGAGCATGATTCAAATCTAAACAGGTGCTCCAGTACCGGTGGCATTCTTCGATCGAGCCTCTCTGTTGGTGACTGATGGTAATGTGGTCTAGCTGGGTCCAGAGCATTGAGTTGATTTTGACGGTCGTCATGTCAAAAAATGTTTCTCCTTATGTTTAAAGCTGCTTATGCCACGGATAGGCGGTTATCTGAGCACAATTATAGTAGACAGTCGCCATTATCTGTTCTTTCAGCCAAGACACCAGAAGAA